TGTAAGCTGATTTTGATTGTTCCTTTATTGCAATTATCATAGAGACAGCTTTCTTACTAACTTCTATCTGCTCAGAGGAGTAGGCATGTCAAGAATTGTCTTCGTTCCAGTTTCCTTTCCTCACACCTCATTTTTACTTTTATAATTTAGACTGTTTATAGATCTTTTTTCTTTTTTCTTCTTGCGCTGAATAGGCAGCATAAACTTATGAGCTTATTTATAATACTAATGCCTTTACAATCACAGGCGGTATTCATGTAACGCAAGTAAGAAGAGGCATTCTGCGTCTCTCAGCTTATTCTAGTAGTTAGCCGTTTGACGCTCTGAATTTGCCTTTTCAAAGTGGTTATCTTGGTCGATTTTGAATTCTTCTCTAACCTTATGGCTCTAGAGATGAATTATAATATTGATAGACAATTAATATTTTTAGGATGAAGAAGAGAAGAAAGCTGCCGTAGGAGAAGTAGAAAAGTCTGATTCGAATTCTATAAAGTCTTCCAATGGAATTAGTGTTAAAGAGAAAGACAATTCCTCTAAACAAGAGGAACCACTACCACCATCATCTCAGAATCATGAGGAAGCAGCCCCAACAGCGGAAGAAGTCTCTCACATGCCTGAACCTTCACCTTCTTCATCTAGTACACAGCCACAGCCAGATCCCATTATAGTCAGTTTTTTTTTCAGTTTTTAATCGCTTCCATAGTGTCAGTTTCTTTTGATTTTAGACTGCAAATCGTTCAACTCCGCCGATTCATTCAGAAGAATCGTACGTATCTCTCTTCATCACTGTTCCAGTTTGTGTTGTGCTTTTGTCCATTTTTGCGCTTCTTTTAGCCAGAAGATTTTTACTCAAAGTTTAATTTCTATGGGGTTTGGCAGTTGCTCAACTCGATTTAGATATCCAGTTACGAGCTACTCTGCAATAATTGAAGTCACGAATTTGCCTTTGATCATATAATCAACTACATCTGTTTTAGCTATTAATTTTTGCCTGATTTGTCTTCCCGACAACTTACAATCTTATATGGCCAACTTCGGGATAAGATGGGTATGATACTGTATTCCTATTTTTTCTTCACATATTTATCGAGAACAAAGTTTTAAGATATTGAGAGTAGTTTGTATGAGTGACTATTATGAGATCTTCTTAGTTGCGAATGTGCATCTATCTAAAGAAAAAACATGAAACAACATTTGAAACGTGCACAAATTCACTTCTTTTTCTTTTTCTTCGCAGGTTGTTCCTCTTCCGCCTTTGGTGGTTCGAGCTTGTAACCATGCATTTCGCACCAACCCAATGGGAAAATATCACTTGAACTGTAACCAACACTTTTTAGTTTGGCCAACAGAGTTTTCAAGCGTTATGAAAGTGGTTGATTTCCAACAATTTTCAGGAGAAAAAGAATAGTAAACCCACAAAACGTCAAACAGTTGATCATACGAATCCTCCCACCCGTCGAAATGAATCTGAAGCAAGCGCCCTTTGTGCGCTGCAACCGTAGCTGGGCAGATTAGATGATTCTCACACATATCAGATGCTTCCAATTTAGCGCCAATCTGCAACTTGACCTTATATGAAACACTGCAAAATGGCCATTATTCCCACCTGGAAATAATCCATGAAACTTTTATCCGGAACTGGGCGGAAAAGTGATTCAGGCGCGGCTATTGCTCCAGCCTGCTGCAAATAATCATCCCA